TTCGAGTTTGCCCAGGCAGTTTGAATGACGCCGACTCGGTCCTCCTCCTTCGAGTTGGCAAAATCGGAACTGACAGTATCCAAGATGAATTCAGCAGGGTTGGTTTGTGCCGGGATTGGATAGCCAATGTCACTAAAGTAGCTATCCACGGCTGAAATTGCCCCAAAATAGCATGTTTTTCCTGCCGAGAGAAGCAGCAGCTTGTCGAAGAGATTAAACGTCGTAGTCGATGGTTGGTGGATACTCGCAATGATGAGAAGCTATAGTGGAAAATGTTAACAGCAGCAGCGAACCCATGTGATAGGGACGTACGTTATTGGCCCGCGCGAGCTCCTTCGCGTACGACATCACCTCAAAGCTGGCAGTGGAGTCTAGACCGCTTGTGGGCTCATCCAAGAACAAAATCTTTGGATTGGTGATGAGCTGGCTAGCCACACTCACACGTCGCTTCTGACCACCACTGATGCCCTTCCGGATCGGGGTGCCAACCAACGTGTTCGCCTGGTTCTGGATACCAAATGCTTCCAAAAGTGTGCGAATCCGATCCATGCGCTCACGTTTCGATACAGAGCTATAGATAGAAGTGGTAAGTACAGGGATGCATAGGCGAGATTGGCTGGACGGCTGTTATTACAACTTGACATACCTGGGCAACGAGAGATCCGCCGCGAACTTCAATGTCTCCTGCACCGTCAACGACCCGATCAACACGTCTTCCTGCTCGACGTACGAGGTCACCCGCTGGAAATTCCGTGAGCCCATTTGTGCATCATTCACGTAGCTCTCCCCGAGAACCTTAGCACCAGCTGATGCGGCACGTCGAGCAAGCACGTTGAGGAGTGTTGTCTTGCCACAGCCTGACGGGCCCATTAGGGCAACGAGCTCCCCTGTAGAACCAGCATCAATATCATAGCCTTGGTATAGAGTATGGACAAGGATACAAACCATGTTGCACATCACCGCTGATATCATTGATCAGATCGCGCGCCTTCTTTGTTTCACGATCCTTGACGGTAACCGTTAAACCTTGCCACGAGAACTTCCGAACTGTCTCGTTCATCAAGAAGTGTCCACTGTCATTGCGCTCCAGGTCCGGGGTACTGGATGCGTTCAAGGGTGAGGGATTGCCCATGCTGCAAGATAATGTAGACGGGTTGCGGCAGATACGAGAGGATGGGAATCCAACCCAAGTCCAGGTTCGCCGGCTCGGGTTTTATAATTTTAAACACGTCCATATTATATGCACCTAGACGCACACGGGGCTTACAAATCCCTGTCTAGCGTCGAGACAAAGTCCTTGTTACGTGTCCGAGGTGGTCCCCGAAGCTGAACATAGGGCTCAACTTTCAGGTGGCCCTATGGACTCGAGCCCGAGCTGACATAAGACATCGATGGTCCCGAGGTCCCCGATCCCCCGGGGAGACGCCGTCCTCCTCGGAGTAGGGGACGATGGGCTTGGAGAAGACTGATGCGCCTAGATCAAATTTCTTAGTGTAAGATCCCGCAGACAATAGCGCTTTTGCTATGTGGGGTGCGTCCAAACCCCGATCAAATCGCGGATCGGATCGTCCACTTTTTCCGTTAACACTACGATATTCAAAAAAAAAGCAAACAAAAGAAACATGGCAACAAAAGAAAATAAAATAAAGGGAAATCCGAGAAGAATTTCGTTAAAAGAAGAAGCATAATGCCATTTCTATTCGTCCCGCTCTTGGCGCCCAATGCAGCTAAATTAATATCAAGATATACGAAAGACACCAGTCTTTAAAAAATACTGAGTGAAAATACCACACAGAAAAGTAAGCAGAATCGAGCAAATAAGCCGAGTTTACATACTAGAACAGATGAGTCAGTAATTAGCTCATCAACGAGGCTGGGGGAAGACTAACCGCTCAACTGGGCTGAGACCAAGGACCCGCATGCCGTTATTCAGAACTTGGCGGGCCGAGGCATACAACGCCATACGCGCCTGCTTGACATCTGGCTCGCTGCCGATTACCTTGAGCACATCGTAGCTAGAGCTCAGCATGTGTGTCATCTTGAACAGATAGCTGAGGACAGTGATGGGCTCAAGAGTCTTGGCAGTCTGCAGAAGTACGTCGGGCCATTGGGCCAGCAGGCGGACCAAGTCGACAGCATGCTGCTCAGTCAAAAGGTCAAAGTTGGCGTTGACCAGTTCGTTAACATCCAACTCGGACTTGCGGGCCATCGAGCACAGACGAGCGTGAGCGTACTGCAGGTATGGGCCGGTGTCACCCTCGAAGGATGTCATGGCATCCAGGTTGAAGTCGTAGCCGTTAACGCTGAAATGGAACATACAAATTAGTAAACGGGTAGACGGGAGTAGCAGGGAAGAACACTATACATACCGCTTGCCAGTCATGTCTTGCACCATAACGGAGGTAATACCCAGAATATCGGCAGTCTTCACAGGATCCTCGACCTGTGAGTACTTGACTTCATTCTTCTTCATGACCTCGTGCATCTTGTCACCAACGTCGCGCAGGATGTCATCCAAGAACTTGACGGTACCCTTACGGGTACTCATACCACGGACCATACCGAAGTTAATGTGCTGGCAACGGGAGGCCAAGTCCTTGTGGCCCATAAGTTCAGTGACCTTGAAGAGCTGAGCCAGGTGGAGATCCTGCTGAGCGGCAACAACGTAGATCATCTTGTCGAAGTGGTAGTCGTTGTCGCGCTCAGTGATGGCACCGATATCGCGGGTCAGGTAGAGAGGAGTGCCATCCTTGCGGACAATAATAGCCTTGCCTAGCTTCTTGGCACCGTGCTTGGTGAAGTCCACAATAACAGCACCCTCAGACTTCTCTGAGACACCGGCCTGCTCCATAAGCTTGTACGCATCGGTCATGCTCTCAGACTTGATCTGAGATTCACCGGAGTAAACATCGAAGTCGATATTGAGACGAGCGTAGGTCTGCTTGTACTTCTCAATGCTGAGATCACGGAACTTGCGCCAGAGAGCAAGAGCCTCCGGGTCACCATCCTCCATGCTCTTGAAGTAGCGACGGGCCTTCTCGTCCTCGCTCACGTCCACAAGCTTGGCAAGCTGTGCCTCGAGCTCAGCAACATCCTCGCTCTTCTCCTTCTTGGCCTTGATCTGTTCCTTCAGCTCCTTGATAGGCCCTTCCTGTTCACTGACCTGACGGTTGACTTTGACGTAGACATCGAACAGGTGGTTGATAGGGTCCTTGATAAGAGCTTCCTCATTGCCGAAATCCTTGAAGCCGTTGGCCAGCAGACCATACTGCTTACCCCAGTCACCCAGGTAGTTCATCTTGATCACGTCCCATCCCATGACAGTGTAGATATTGGCGAGGAAACCACCGATGATGGTACTGCGTAGATGACCAGCGTGGAAGGGCTTGGCGATGTTGGGCGACGAGAACTCGATGATGATCTTCTTCTGTCCCTTGGAGGGGTCGGAGGGGTCCTTCTGACCCTGGTTGCCATTTGTTCCAAAGGCGGACTTCTCCTTCAGGATACGGCCAAGAACATTATCGATCAATGGCTTAGGTTTGCAGAAGAACTGGATGTGAGGACCAAGCGGAGTTGGGGGGTGAATAAGGTCGGAGGCGGGGAACTTGGAGGCAAGATCCTTAGCAAGCTCCACGGGGTTTTGCTTAATCTGAAGAGAAGCCACCTAATTGTACGCAACAAGACATTGTTAGTCCAAGACCTCATGATCATTCGGAATATGCAATTGCGCCTGCGCCCACATACTGGCAATGAAAGGTCACCCTTGTCCAAAGTACTGGTCCAGGCAATGCGCGGGTAAATCTTCTGCGCGTCGATATCAGCAGCTTTGCTCAACTCCACCGCGATGTGCTGGCGGTAAATATCCATCGGGTTCAGTGTCGGGAAGCAGCCGGCGAACTGAGACTTCTCTGCCGTGGATTGGAGCGAGAGGGCCTCAACTGAGGCGGGGAGGGAAGCTGCGGACATGATTGAGAATCCTCGCGATGTACCGAATGCGCGTATCGAAGTAGGAAATGTCGAAGGTTTAGAGGGGCAACGCAACGGAGAAAAAATGGCTGTGAACCGCAGAGCCCCGCTTAGACAACGACCCATAAAGAGGGGGGAAATCTCTCGGGGATCTTTTTTTTTTGCCTTTTTTCTTTTTCCTTTTCTTCCCTTTTTGACTTGCTCTGACTCAAAGAGGGCGGTGAGTCACGTGGCATGCATCCAGGTCTTATCGATTAATGTGACGTCACTTTTGAGCGTGATCTGCTGAAACCCTACTTTGAATATAGACTAACTACATGCTCATTGGACCCTTATGCTACCAGTGGCATACCTATTTAGCTATAGCCCTGCCCATTAATTGTCATAGCTGACACACGCCACGGCCAAGACGATGGTCTGGGCGCTCAACAGTTGGAGAGATAGGATTTGAAAGTGATCGGTCACTTTTATCCTGAGCGAGACCTGGTGTATATCTCTTTTCCTTCGCTCGTCAGATGTAGTTATACTTCAATTATTACTATGATCTACCTTTCTTCTCCTGTCCAAAGTCTGGGAGAGTAACTTTCTGTGTTTGTCTTTTTGTTTTGTTCTCACTCTAGCCTTTTATCTCATAGCAGCGTCTCTGTGTTTACATAGCAAGATAAAAATTATTAATGACTCCAAAATCCCCGGGCAAGTGCAGGATTCTCGAACAAAGGAATTGCCGAACAAGAATGAATAGCAACACGTATTTTCCAGCCCGGTAAGGTGCTGGCAAATAAACAAACACCGCGAACTTAGTGCGTTAGAAGTGGCAGTACTGGGGTAGGGAAGTAGGGACGCATTGCGCAAACGGTCCTGCGATCGTTTTTGATTACTTGCCCCAAACCCACCGGTTTTCACGTCACTTTGCAACGCGATACCACCCCCATCGATTTTCACGGTCAGTAGCCAGCTATCCCTTTTCATCCTTCTTCGATTCACTGAGTACTCATCTCCTCGGAGATGTGTAGATCGAAACGGAGTGCAACCCCATGGATTCTAAGGAGTTGACGTTGGACCCGAGCATCGATCCCAATTTAGATTTCCAGTTTGGTCAGCCGGTTGATATTCCTATCCCAATGAGAACTGAGCCCAATGAGGCCTTAAAGGCCAAGAGCAGTATTGCGTCTGCTTCGTCAGATGATATGTCGTGGCCACATGATAATTGCTGGAGAAGCTCCCGTCCCATCGAGCCTACAGTCTTGGTGTAAGTATCGTCCCAACGTGTCAAACACGTGCACGATGGACTTCTGGCTAGCATAGTATCAGTCCTAACGCCAAGCTTTGTGACTGCCCCAGCACTCCCAACTACCTGGCCAGCCGAGCATGCTATTCTTGTTAGACTCACGGTACTTGAAGCTTCTGTTTACTTGGCTGACACGTCGCCTATCCAGTACATTCCGGACTGTGCAAAGCGGTGCCCTTACTGCCCATGGAAGACTGAAAGGAAGGCAAAGGTCGGAAACCCGGCACCCATGATGTGTCGACACGTGGGCCAGTATCACCTGGTTAGTAATACACAGTCTGAGAACAACTAACTTCATGCTAATCTGGCTTAAAAGAAGGAAAGCAACAACTATCCCGGTATTGCCATTGACCCGCGACGTGTGTATGTCTATGGGCCTTCCCTCTATCTATGGTCCCGTGCTAACACTGGTATCACTAGGTCTTTGAAGAGAGAGTAGTGAGTTAATCCGCTCTGTCTGTTTCTATGGGTTGCTGACCTTTTATCTTTTTAGCGAAGGGTACGAACTCACCCAAGGCGGTCGTCCGACACTCGAGAAGACTCCCCAGCAGACATAAAGGAAGCATGCGAGAGGCGAAAAGGGGATATATGTAGCCCGTTCCTTTGTCGATTCTTTCACTTGTACCTCAATATCACCAGCCCTGGCCTCCAGTGCCACTTCCGAAGGGAGAACACAATGGCCGGACATCATGGGGCTTCGTAGAATTGCAACAAAGCAATGAACACCACAAGTAATTTGAAAGCTTTGTTTCCCGATTCATTTTCATCAAAGACTTGACAATGAGCTTGGAATAATAATGGCTTTGTTCTCGTCAAAGGACCCAAGGTAGTATGTCACAGGGGAACATTATTTTGTAGTCGGTTAGTGCCACATATTTAGTGAGCTTCGATTTCCAGCATCCAATTCATCGACAAAGCAACATTATCTGGCAACTAGGGAACTCGACGGAATCACTCTGCACGTTTGTCGCGAACTCGAAAATATCAGCACTTAAACCGCTAACGGACTTCGGGAGCTAAGCAGTATGTCATATTACATTACCATCCACCACGGCTCAGGTGTGGATGAGAGCCCTGAAAACATGTGGATCAATATCTCCTTCACCGTCAAGGACCATTTTTACCTTCGCACTGACGGAGCCTTGATTTGCTTCATGATTGAACGTATTCGGGAGAGGAAGTTCCAAGTTACTCCTGAGCCCATGGATCGACAAGCTCGGTGGTGTATCTCGATACCAGTCTCCAAATCGCATAAGACCGTGGACGGTGCTGTTGCCGACGCTCTACAACTGGCGGAGTGGTATAAGGTCCAAATCCTCAATGGGAATGCAACTATCAACCGCAAACTGCTATTTGATCGGAAGCCCTTTGATGAAGGTAAGGAATGCTGTAGAGATAATGTGTGCGATCGGATACTACATCCTGAGTGGTGGGAAGATACTTGTAAAGAGTCTAAAGATACTAACCGGCCCTTGTAATTTCTTTTCAAAATTTACGGACCCTCGTTTGCGATTGACTTGCGAGGGTCTACCCATATGAAAAGGATCACCGAAATGGCAGGTTTCTTTTAGATCCCACATTTTCACTTTGATCCTAAACCACACCACAAACCATGTCTAAAACCAATGAAGATATAGAAAAACAATTCTTAAAGCTCTCGACTCCCTCTCTGAGCAATCTAAACTCAATATCGCGAAAACTGCGCGAGAATTCGCGGTCCCCGACAGTCGACTACGCCGGCGCTGGAAAGGTGGAAAATCGCTTTTTCAATGACAACCCTAATGGCAGGAAGCTAAGTTCTGCACAAGAGCAGGCTTTATGTGTATATTTGGATTCCTTTGGCGCAGTCGGAGCATCAATAAAGCGCCGCCAAATTGCTATTGCAGCCAATTCAATTCTCGAATAGGACCACCATGACGAGACCAAACCCCGTCCACTAATTGGCGATCACTGGCCAACACGTTTTCTTAAACGTAATCCCAATTACTACGTACGAAGCCGGTTACTCCGGTCGAATACACCATCAACTACCTCACAAAGTACCGAGTTTAGCAGCTCAAAAACCGCGGAAGAAGTGAGAAGGATTAGCCTACAGCTTAACCAGTGCGACCCTACAACTCAACGCTTCAAAGAGGGGTTAGCAAAGCTTGCAAAGGGTGCTGAGGCACAGGCTGTTTTAGCTCTCCAGCTACAGCGGGAAATCGATCGGATGCAAGCTATTATAGGGGCTCGCCACGCCCAGCATGACCCTTCTCGTCGTCATATCCCGATCACCGGTATCATTCTGCAGATCAATGCAAAGAAATGAAACGAAAAGAGTATGAATTGACCGAAAATGCCGATCAAGAAATGACGGGGCGGAAGTGGAAGAAGGTCTTGGTTGAAATCAGGAAGCATGGCAGAGCCAAAAAAACGCAGGGGGCCAATAACTTGTATTCTAGTAGTAAATTGGCCAATTAATCTATATCCTATTTTAAATTAATTAATTTACTACATGGTGGTGTAGTAAATGGAGGTTAAAGCAAAGCAAAAGGCACATACTATAAAGAAAAGGCTGTCATATGGGTGATCTCACGGGTGGCGGACCCTTGCTTGCTCGCTTTTGAGGGTCTGTAACTTTTGAAAAATAGTTACAGGGGTCGGTTAGTGAAGATTCTAAGGCTTTTGGTTGGCTGAAATGAATGCATGTCGCACGTCAATCTCCACAGCCGTGTTCAACCTTTGAGAGCTTTAGGAACTCCCTAGATATTATAAGTGGCTAAAGAGTCGTTTTCTATAGCGAGCTACTAGCGGTAGTCAACTTAGACGCAGGAAGGGTGAGTGGAGTGTTATGCCAGGGGAAGCGTTTGAACCGACGTTGAGTGTCCACATATGACGAAGAGAAGAGTTGTTGATATGCAAATAAGAGTATACAATCATCAACATCGAGTAAGAACACATTATTAATATCAAGATCTAGGCGGATATTTCACACGTTCGAGGCCCGAGGGACATCTTTTAAATCACTTGTAGGCTGTGTCTATTGACCCATCTAACCACACACCAGACAAAAACAAAAATGCCTCGCGGCCGGACCCGCTAATATTCTATAGCCGATTCACATATATAAAGGGCAGAGTCAGGTTCGAAAACAGCAACTTTTTGTGTATCGCAGCGAATCCCTTAGAAGCAGAAGACCTGGTCCTCCAACTTGCTGACGGGGCGCGCCTTGGTGTATCCGAGAGCCTCGGTGGCCTTCTTCATGGCGCTGACCATGGGAGGGGGGCCACAAAGGAGGATCTTAACATCGGCAGCGGGGGCGGGCAGGCGCTCCTACGAGAAAGTTTAGTTAATACCGAGGTAGCACAGCCGAGCACATGACACAAACTTACCTTGATCATGTCGGGAGTCACGAAGCCGACACCGCCGGTCCAGCCCTCGGGCGGGTTGTTAAGAACGTAGTAGACGCGGAATCCATCGTCCTCCTTCTCCAGCGCCTCGAGCTGGTCCTTGAGCAAGATGTCCTCGGGGTTGACGTTGGCGAAGATCAGGTCAACCTTGGTGGTGTCGTTGCCACCGTTGCGAGGACGGTTGCGGATGATGGCCTTGATAACCTGCAGCATGGGGGTGATACCAGTGCCACCGGAGATCATACCAATGTGACGGCACATGTTGGGGGTGTACACCATGGCGCCCTTGGGGCCGCGGACTTTCATGTTGTCGCCAACCTTCAGCTCGGTAAGATACTTGGAGATGTTACCCTGGGGGTAAGCCTTGACCAGCAGATCGAAGTAGCCGGCCTCATTGTCGGAGGAGATGGGGGTGTAAGAACGAACAACTTCCTTGGGCTGACCCTCGATAGTAGCGGCGAGAGAGATGTGCTGACCGATGGGGAGGCCGAGGATATCGGTGGAACGGGGGAGGGCGAAACGGTAGATGGCGACATTGTGGGAGATCTCGTTCTTCTCCTTGAGCACGAAGTTCTGGAACTCGGTGGGATTCAACACCTTGCGAGGCTCTACAATCAATGGGATCAGTTCAGTTCCTCGGGTTCTCCAGCACTCCGATATTTAGATAAAAAGAAATTCACGCACTGTTGCTGAAAACCAAGTAACCAGCCAGGACTCCAGCGGCAGCGATTGCATAGGTGATGAACTCGGGCTTAACGGCGTAAACACCTGCGACGAGCATGGCCGAGGGCGCGAGGGCCGTGCCGATGGTGGCGAGACTTCGAAGAATCAGCCATTGTTTGATGTTATAGGTGAATAACATTAACTCACCTCATTACGACAGAACTGGTGTTTAAAAAGAGAACAGAGATAAAAGCAGAAGAGAAAAGAGAAAAGAGAGGAGATAAAGGAAACGAGGGGGGCTAGCCCGCCCAACGGAATTTCCCACCTTTTGGGGTTACGATTTCCCCGACTTTCCGTTTACTTTGGCTTACTCGACTTACTGGACTCGCTCGGGTTATTTGAGTTACTGAAGGGTTATTGGCTTATTTGCACGTTTTATTTCCGAGGTTCTTCTTTTCGAAATGAAAATGCCCGAACTACCAGAAGTGCCACAAGTCCCTGCCTTTAATCTAACGGAATTGGACCACAAGCTCCTGGCCATGACCGACGAGGAGTTCGTATACCACGACTGGGAAGACCTAAAAAGCATCATCGGTAAGTCCCCACATGCCTCCAAATCTGCCCTAGAAACAATTCCCCTCATGCCATATACCGTAACAGCGCGGAATGATCTCGGCGCACTCAAGCGGAAGCCTTCCGATCTCCGCCGATACCTGGCCTGGACACAAGAGACCAAAGCCCAGTATGGCACGATCATGAATTATATTTGCCAGGAGCGATTAAAGTGGCACTTGCCGCTAAACACTGCCAATGGCAGTGACTCAGCGGTTATCCAGCAAAGCGGGCCCCCGGCGACCTTCAAGAACCCGCGTCCCTTTGCCGATCCCGAGGACTACAAGATCCTCCGGAATGACTGGCCCTACGGCCTAACCCCCGGGATCTCGCACCTCGTCGTGTGGCTGCGCACTCCCATCCCTGTACAATCCGAGGAGGGCCATTTGACCGATGAATCTCGTGCATTGATCAACACTTTTGTTCGAAAGACTTTCGTGGACAGATTGGCTAAGGATCCTCAAAATTTCTCGGACCCTGACTCTCATGTGCTATGGTTTAAGAATTGGGTTGGTTTACAAAGTGTGAGGGCATTGGAGCATGTCCATATTTTGGTCCGTGATGTCCCTGAGGATATCTTATTCGAATGGGTAAACGAGTGAGGAGGTTATTGGTGGGACTGTCGATAGAATTTTTGCCTGGTTGATCAGGTTTGCCATCAGCGTCTTACCAGCGAAGCTTTTTGCTCCAAAGTTCTTACATTGGACATTGGACACCGTCGAGAGAAAAGAAAAAGATGAAAATAGTTAGGAGAGTTCTCCAAAGGCTAGGACTTTTGGTTAACCCCCATGAACACAAGTGGTATCACACTCCTAGACACCCCTTCTATCATGAATGTCGTGGTTCATGGTCACCTTGAGATCTTGTCCCATACTCAATCTTTACCTGAGCCGTGCAATGAATCTTGCCGGCCATATGGAGCTCCGATTTGAGCTGGTCCGAGTTCAAAATGCTTTCCTGGCTACCGCTCTTCGTAGCCCCAATATTCGTGGTTATGAGGATATCATCGTCCTCACGAGTTTTGCTTGCCGATTTCTTCGTGGGTCTATCCGTGTAAGAGCGCAACTTGCCGCTCTCATATCGCCTGTAAGAACTCCAGGAACAGTTTGCCTCGGATCATTTCATACATCGGACCCCCAAGGATGGGATGCAGGAGGCCATAATGATGATGTTTGATTCGACACTGAAAGATGCGAGTCAGATGTTAGACCGATTTCGTATAAAGAGTGACTGAAAACATACCTCGTCCAGATAACAAGATCTGCTGTTGCATCTGTTTATCTCACTTTGTGCACAAAAAGAACTTACATGTTCCGTATTATATAGACCGGTAGCTGTAGCAACTTGACAATAGCCATTGCACAGGCTCTGTGTGGACAATCAGCTACTTTCTCCTAGCAATGATATCAATCAACTTACACAGCGCCCAAGCCCAAAGCCGCGCACAGGGCCAATTTTTTTCTTAACCGACATTTGAAGTTGTAGCAACACCACAGTCGGATAGATTGCAAGATATAGATCGACCACGCGGAAAGAACTGACAGAGGTTTAATTATTCGTTCGCGAAAGACATGCGACCTACCAACGTACCTCCAGTGAAGATTGCATAGCCCACCAGGATCTTGGTCGGACGCATGTTGCCCCTTCCCTCATGAGATGAATGTTCCATAGAGCCTGGGGAGGATCACGCATGGTGAAGAGAACGATGATGCAGATGGTCGATGCCACGAACACGAAGCCCGTCAATATCCATAACCATATTCGGTGCAAGCGGCTGGGATTCATGATACGATGCAGGAGAGCAGCGACGGCGAGTTTCGGAGTTGTGAAAGACATAATCTCTAGTGTGAGGTCTGCATAATTAATAACTAGAATGTGTTCGACCAAATCCATGCCGCCTTTTCCCATCAACGCAGAGGTATGGCTCCCGTAGCCCAAAACGACATTCACCGTGGTGAGAACTGTATAGCTGGAGACCATGATCTACAGAATTGGTATCTGGCGTAGATCAAGATCAATTAGAAGGTACTTACCATTGCTGCCACAATAGTATAATCGTCGAGTCCAGTGTTCCTTAACATCCGGGCTCGGATATAAAGTCGCAAGGATACCATCACCACACTTATACCGAAGAATGCCCAGAAAACCCCTAGAATTCGCGGGTCTTTTGTCTAGTTTATGTATTCGGGGTCCATGGTCGCCAAGATACCGAGAGCAGCGGCTGCTCCGGTCCTTATAGGAGAATCGTGACAATATCCTCTCTGGCGTCAAGAGGACTAAAAACTGTAGAGCAGGTCAAGCATCACTATCATAGGCAAAATTTGAGATTAAATTATTACCAAAACACGTATCCGAAGATACTGTTGTCACAGCCTATGGCGAGGGGGTGATAGAGCAGTCGGGGCCAGCCCAGCTGGAGTTATACTTCGATGAACTGACCACTCGCTTCTATAGACCTCAAGCCTCAATATCCCGAGTGGCTTGGCCGCGATTACTTCACTTTTGGCCCCTAGTCGCTATAGCCTTAGGGCGTTTTCACTATGCGCGAAATTGTGCTATATGTCCTCATCCGCATCATAGGAGTACAAAGTACGCACAATAATATAGTACATGAAAAGCCCCAGTCCTACTTATTAGAACCCTACGCAATTCTTGCTTATTATTATCCTACGTTTGATTTCCTATCGACTTCCGCTGAACGAGTCAATGCGTGAATCCTTCGTGAGGCTTATCACCATGCACCATGTGGAGCTATCAATGGCCCAATGATTCACTCGGTTAGGACACTGGCTCTATGGATTCAAATATAACTCGACGAGTTTGCCCCGATAAAACCAACTAACCAATGAATTACTGCCCAAGGTCGCTTAACCTGGAACAGAATATGACACTAATGTACTAGGATGCTAGGGTAGTGATCTGTCAGGGGTTCGGCAATTCCACCGCATGTTAGCACCTTGGATCTAGTGTAGCACGAGACTCCGCCCTCGCGAGATATTTCTTCTAATTCCGTCGGTTCTCCTACATATGCATTGCAGCAAACATAGTTTACCATGACGTCCAATGCTATCGATGTAGAGGGTCTTGCTCTCACCTCAAATCTACCGGATGCCATCCCTGATCTCCTTCAAACGGTTGCGAGCCATGGCAAAGACCTCATCGCTCAGGATCCCGAAGCACGGTTGAAGCTGCTAGAAGCTGCCCGATCATTGATGTATGCATTAGAAACCCCCCGAGAAGCCATTATTAGACACTGCTGGTCCGAGGTGTGTTGTCACCTGCCATCACCTGCTTCTTGGAGCGAGTTGAAATTATTTAGACTGACAGATATTGCATGTACTCAGTCTACGAGTTACGCAGCCCTAGAGACTGCCGTTGATATGTCTCTCTTTTCTGCTCTCGGCACAGATGACAGACCGAAGACTGTCGCAGAGCTTGCTGAGGCAACCAGAGTAGATCCATTCTTGCTCGGTCGGTAGTCTGTTGATTAACCAGCAAACACCAATACCTGATAAATTCATACAGCGCGATTGCTGAAGCATCTCGCTGCGATGGGAACAATAACCGAGGCCGGCCACAACGAGTACTGCCCTACCGGGTTTTCGAAAGTCCTGACAGTTGAGAGATATAGCGCACTCATGTGGGCTGATAGCGAGATCAGCATACCGGAGCCAGGACTAACGAGTTGACCCGCCGTTTCCCCAAAGGCATTATGGCTCTACCGGCCTTCCTCAAGAGAAACAACTACCAAAACCCGACACGCCCCACAGATACAGCCTAGCAGATAGGTCATGAAACAGAAATGGGTTCCTTTGGCCATGTGCAACAGGAACCGCTCACGGCAAAGCAGTCTAATAACCACATGTCAGTCTACGCTCGGTGCCGAGTCCGCTGGATGGATCCCGGTTTCTACCCGGTCCAAGAACAGCTTATAGCCGGGGTCACGATTAGCGAGGATGATGTCCTTCTCGTTGATGTTGCAGGTAGCTTTGGTCATGATCTATCCGATTTCCGTCGGAAATGGCCTGGCCTCCCCGGTCGTCTAGTGCTACAGGATCTTCCTGAGGTGATGGTTTCTGTTAAGGATTTGCATCCATCTATTGAAGTTACTAGTCATGACTTCTTCACTGAGCGACCAGTCAAAGGTACGGAAATAGGACTTTTCCATGTCCTTGCGCATCGATTTAGAGCTCATCAATTCCTGGAATATACTAACATTATATCCGCGTAGGAGCCCGTGCGTATTATATGCATTCCGTTCTCCATGACTGGCCCGATGAGCTTTGCCGCAAGATCCTCGCTAATACTATGGCCGCTATGCCGTCCGGCTATAGCAAGGTGTTGGTAAATGAGACTGTGATTAGACACGGGGGCCTGCTGGGAAACCACAAGTCTGGACTTGATTATGATGGAGCTTGGATCTGGCGAGCGTACGGAACGACAATGGCATGCATTGTTAGAGTGTGCTGGACTGAAAATTGTCAAGATTTGGACTGCCCAGAGGGGCGTGGAGAGTTTGATTGAGTGTGGGCTAGCTTGACCCGTGAAAAAATGCTGTACAAGTTGCCGAAGCAATTCAATCTGCAGGTGTTGGCAAAGAAACCCGATTTATCATGATACTTCATAACCATGCCACTCTAGGCCGGTAAATAGTTGTCATCTACAATCCATTGAGACATATACAAAGAGCTACGTTGCAAGAATTGGAATAAGAATAGAATAATAAAAAAGAAGTTCGGTATCAGAATACGCCAGCCAGCTAGTCCCTCAAACCCATCGAAGCAAATGTTGATTCACAATATACAAAGAGCAACACCTGGGAAATACGACGATCATGTCTTCTGCTCCTCCACGAACTTCAGAGCCTCCTCGCGAGAGACAACATCAATAGTACTGGCCTTTTGCCTGAAGCTCACACCATAGCACTTTTCTGCCACATGCAGCATTTCAGGTCGGAAGGTAGTACAGATGAACTGCCCATTCGTCGAATCCGAGATGGACTTGAGCATCTGTGCAACCGCTGTCCGGTACTGAGCATCCAGGTTGGCGTCGATCTCGTCAAATAGGTAGAATGGTGCGGGGTCGCAAGCCTGGATGGCAAAAACGAGTGCTAGAGCGCAGAGACCTATGGCAAGATGGTTAGCAATTGCAAAACAAAATACAGATTTGGAGGGGAAATGCTTACTCTTTTGTCCACCACTCAGCTGCTGAATACGTTGTTGATCATCGTGCTTGCTATTAAAGCTCACACTGATGCCGACACCGACGTAGTTTTCGACGCTCTGCCGAGCTTCCTCATCATCCGAGTCAACGTCGTCATCAAGTCGTGTAGCACGGTCTGTCTTCCTTTGTATGATAAGACGACCACGACCGGCGGGAACGAGCTTCTCGAACACGTTGTGGAACTCGCGTGAGACCTGCTTGAATGTCCGTTCAATCGCCTCATCCTTGCGTTGATCAAGAACAGAAATGAGGTCATCGATGGACTTTTGGGATGCATCCAGCTCGGAACGACGTGAAGTAAGAGTCTCACGCTGCTTGGTAAAGCTATTATACTGTTCAAACGCCTTCTTGTTGACGTGGGAATATTTCTTCAGAGCCTCGTTGGTCTTGTGGAGCTTCTTCACAACAGTGTTGGAGTCAGTGTTTTGGTACTTGGTGAAAGCTTCATCCGGAAGAACACCAAGGGAGCGGATGTTAGCTGCGCATTCGGCACCCTGCTTAGTGAGTGCGGCCTTCTTTTGCATGCTCTTCTCCATACGACGCTGATGCTTCTCGATAGATCGAGCGAGCTCTTCAATTTCCCGTTGGGTCTCCGCATTACGCTGTTGCAGATCCATCACGCGAGTATTGCCTTCCTCAATTGAGGCGTCAACTTCCTTCAGTCGTGTATTAAGCATCTCCAACGCCTGGCCAATGCGCTTCACTTCACGCTGTGTCTCTTTCAGGTTACCCTGAACTTCCTCGTCAGTGATATCAATGTCTCTGTTCAGTAATTGGTCAAGGCGCGGGTTGAGGTTCTCTCGAAGCTCAACTTCCAGCACCGATTTGCGTGCCTCGAGCTCGCTGCGCTGAGCCGAAAGCTCTTGGTATTGACGGCGCAGATCTTGCACTGTGCTGCTTAAATGATCAAGTCGAGCTTCCTCTTCGCTGGTGAGAGCTTTCTGGAAAGGCGACGACAGTTCGGTCTGGAATGCATTGACTTGGTCGTTCAATGCCGCAAGGTTCGACTCAACATTTCGAAGAGCGCGTCGCTTGGCATCAAGCGCATCGTTCTTGTTTTGAAGGAGATCACGCTTGGCCCTCAAATCGTGCCGTAAAGGTCCACTGCTGTTCTGGACCTGATGTCTCTGTTGCTCAAGCTTCTGCAGTTCACCAACAGCCTTGGTGATCATCTGGTCGAGCTTCTCAAGCTCTTTCCGGATTTCTGTACCCCGATTTCTCTTGATCTCGTACTCATCGCGCCACTTAGCTAGACCCTTGACAGCATCCAGTCGTGACTGACGAGAGTCGTGGTATCCACCAGTCAAGGCACCGCGCTTGTCTGATCGGTCGCCCTCTGGAGTGATGGCATTGACACCATGGCTTCGTGCGTACTGTGACGCAACCTGCAGGTTGGGGCAAATGATAGTCTTGCCGAACACATGCTGGAAGGCTCTCTCATATGCGGGGTCGTATTGCAACTTGTCAATCATGGGTATCGTGTCGCTAGCACGGGGGATGTTCATCGGCCTAGAGCGAAGTCTGTTCAGAGGCATAAACGTTACACGACCAGCCTTTTCCTTTTGCAAAATCTCGAGGACGGTCGTAGCAGTTTCATCTGTGTCAACAACGTAGTGGAAAAGACTCTGGCCAGCAGTGACTTCAACGGCGGTGCGATATCTATCATTGACATCGAAAAGCTCCGCAAGAGTACCGTAGACTCCTTCAAGGTTATGCTGGCGCTTGATTCGCCGCACTGCGGCGATTCCGCGACTAGTGTTGTTATCCATCATTTGAGAGAGATTGCGCTCGGCACGGTCGACCTCCTGGGATGCATTCGAAAGCACGGAGTCAAGCTTCGCTTCTTCTCTCCAGAGTTCCCTGTGGAAACATTAATCTCTGTTCTAGCCAGTTAGTGATTCAAGGAAGCTTACTTTCTTTGATCCATAAGGCGGTCTCTTTCATCCTTAGCATCTTGGACTTGTTGATCCACACTATGCATTGTGTCGCCGCGTCCATCGATTTGCTGGCGCAAGCGTTCAGTTTCCGGCTCCAAGGCAGCAATCTCGCCTTCTAGGTCTTGGATATCTTCTTGTGTCTGTGAGATCACAGTCTGGACAGTGTTGATAGAATTATGACTCTCGCGGACTTCCATGCTCAACCACTTGTCACGCTCAGATTTGTTCTTGAATCGCGAGTTCCGACCCTGCTTCGCATACAAACGCTGTCGCGATGTCTCGGCATCCGTCAACTGTGATTTAATGGAGTCCTCCTGGTCCTTCAAGGCATTGAACCGAGGGAGAATTTCCTGATGTTCGGCTTCACGCTCACTGATAGCAGTCTGAACAGAGCGGAGGTCGGAGTCGTAGCGTGATTTCAGTGCTTGTGCGGCAGCCTGGTTGTCAGAAAGCGACTTGGCCCGGAGTTCATTTTGAGCCAGAGTCTTAGATGCTTCACGCCGTTCGTCCTCCAGTTGAGCCTTGTCAACCTTCAGGAACTCAATTTGTTGCCGGCACTCAGCGATCTCAGCATCGATCTGAGCCATGGCCTTCTCGCCTTCAATGAATTGGTCACGATTGTTGTCGGCATCCTCAACGCCGTTCTGTCGTCGCTCTTCGATCTCATTGAGAACCTTACCGATCTCCTGTTGTTCGAGGGAGTAAATGGTGTACTCTAGACAGCGGCGCTCCTTGTCCTTCTCCTGATAGCTTCGAAGCTCGTCCTTTTCTTCTTCGAGTTCCGCGAGACGTTCGTTAATGTAGTCGAGCAGCTCGTCAATCTTGGCGCGCTTGCTGTTGGTCTCGTTCATAATTTTCAAAGACTCCGAACGACGAGCTTCATAGACCTGAGTACCGGCGACCTCCTTAAGCAGAATCAGGCGCTCGGAGTCCTTCATGTTTGTCAACGCAGTCACTCGGCCTTGGGGAACAATGTAGTAAGGGTTAGACCGAGAGAAACCAGCCGACTCGAGCAGGTTCATAACATCGTTCTTGGTGGCATTCTTGCGGTCGAGAGTGTATTCATCCTTCTTGATACCAATAGTTCGACGGAGTACGACCTCGGGCTTGCCGGTGGGGAATCGATCGTCGGAGTTGTCGAAGATAATCTCGACGTAGGCGGACATCACAGCCGAACCGGAACCTTCCTGCTTGGGGTCAACCTATGTAGATTTGAGTAGTACCAAGGTACATACGTGCAAAAGAGCCTGACGTTCCTCCCTGCCCAGATGTGTGTAGGCATCGCTCAGGACGAAGCGAATGGCCGCAAAGAAGTTACTCTTTCCGGAACCATTGCGGCCGACAATGACGTTGTGTTTGGGGGAGAATGGCTCAATGACCGTTTGATCTTTGTAGCTGAGTTCCGTGGCAAGTCAATAAAAGTTCATAGAGTTATAAATATTGCGTATCGGGTGGAAAATACCTTTTGAAGCCTTGGATAATGATCTGCTTGACATACATCTTGAGAATAAACGCGCGACGCGAGGATTAATCAGAATACCCTCAGCATAACGCGCCTGGCGCAAGAGTAAAAACTAAAGACAGAATATGCCACAAGGATCACAGCCAGCAGATCACTCTAGCGATGAACAGACAAAGGCCGACGGGTATCGTTATTGTGTTGCGAAGCCTTGGAGATTGACTACGCGAGGAACGAAATTAGCGCGTCTCGTTGGGCGCGGGGTTCTGCCGGGCGGTGACCCTAATTTGAGCCACAGAAAAAAAAAATACTTTGGGGACCGGCGGAGATATTCAATCTCTAAATTCTCAACTTTGAAGATCCAGAATGGCTTCAAATGAGAATACCACCCAGGCGGCTGGCATTGCCGATGGTCTCGCGCCCTCACATACCTATGTGCCTAACGAAGGCTACGTGAACCCTGATACTGCAGACTCCGCAGAGGCGGGGCAAGTTCTGCCCGATGAGCAAGAGGATGAGGATGAGGAAGACGAGTACTACGACGACATTTTCGAAGAAGAATTGGATCGTGAAGATATTCTGTCCTCTGACAACTCCGATCTTACCAAAGCA